GGCAAAGAGAAAATGGAGTCTTGGTGATCCTAATAATGGCTTATATGTGGCCACAGAGGTGATGTCTTCATGCAGTAATGGTGAGGCCCACCTGCAGCGGCAAGTCAACCATTGAATTGGCAGTTTTCATGGAAAATAGAGAACTGAAATATTCTTCTTTTCACAAGCATGTGGTTAAGGAATGTAGTTCACTTTCCATCACAACTTCTTGGACATATGTAGTAGTTGAGAAAGTCAATTTCGCTGGTGCTATGGCTAAATATGTAGCTATAACCATAACCATAAGTAACTATAATTATATATATATCTGATATAAAAAGGGTGAAATCTCTAATGAATAGTGCATTTTCAAGAACATTAAGTTTGTATGCATCTTTGTAATCCTGTGACAACTGTACTATCACTCTGATTTAGCATTGTCTTCTAAAAACAAAGTAATACTGTAATCTTTTGACTAATTTCAAGATTATTTTAAGCAAACAGTTCAGAGCATAATTATGGCAAAAAGACTACAGTTATTTCAGAAAATAAGTAATTGTGGGAGATATATTCCAAATCACAGTGAAAAAAACAGGATTTAACATATAATTTACTTTTGAATGTTTAACACAAAGAAAAGGGAAAACACCGTCTTTAGTTCAATCTCACTTTCCTGCCAAAGAAAAAGGAGGTTGTTTCTAAACAACAGCCTACATACATAGTTTATTACAGAGACTTTTTAAGTAGAACGCTATCCTATATGAATTCTTGCCAGTTTGTCTCTTTGTATTCTGAAACAATCAGCTGCAAATTGAAATAATCCCTTCCTTGAGTATCTTTTCCAAGTAATGGGAAAATCAGATTACCACTGCATGGATTTACAGGTAATATATAATTTGGCTCTAAATTCTAAAATTGATCCAAGACTATTCTGTTCAAATGTGCTCTTGCAGAAATTTCCTTTTACAAGTAACTATGTCACTCATCTAATTATAACAATGTTTTAAAAGGTATTTTATAACCCCCTATAAAATATCTAGAATCTAAGCATCAAGAGGCATGACCCATTGATCTCATCATGAATATATACTTTCATTGACCAAGCTAACTGGAGTTTTTTCTTGTAGGGGCAAAAGTTATTTCATAATATTGAAATCCTTGGAGAATAAACAAACAAATGGGAGATTTAAGTACTGTAATGATTTCCATATTCATTTGGAGTGTGGCACTTGCAATCCATCTAAAAGGAACATCATTTTAAGAAGCACAATTGGTTAAATATAAGAATGAATGATTAGAAGCATTGACAGCTAGAATCAAAACTGGAGGTTGAAATACAGACCAATTTAAGATACAGATTACACAACTTCGTTAGCGGAAAGTAAAGAATACAGGAGTTCACTAGGAAAATAAAAATGGAAAGTGAAGTCAAAGCTAATATGAATTACATTTTTAATAAACTCAGTCAATAAGAAGTGAAGATGTTAGAATAGATACTTTCATTTTCAGAGGCAAAGACTTCATTGATTATATCAATAGTATACTAGAAGTAATTAATCCCAGGGAAGAACCGTGTATCCCCGAAAATAAGACCCTGTCTTATGTTTTTTTGAACCCTGAAATAAGTGCTTGGCCTTATTCCCATGTGCTCAAAAGCCCAATTGGGCTTATTATCAGGAGATGTCTTATTTTGGGGGAAACAGGGAAGACTATGACAGACAAAATCATGAAGAATAAGAGTTTAGTGCAAACAAAGCTTACTTAAAGTAGTTATATTTACAATAATAAGGTGTAAGTGAAAAAGCTGCACTTTTGAATTATAGATTTGAAGATTGTTCTTAAAAGGGTTGATTCTTTGTGCAGTGATGAACATGGAGAAATCTGCATGCTTTGGCTACAACCAAATTAAGAGTTTGGAAACACCATTTGTCAAGGATTGTAGTTTACTTGGTTGTAGCTAATTCCTGAATTGCTTTATATGTGTGTTTGTTAATTTATATGCAATTTATACTTTACATGCAATGCAGTTAAGGGAATAACCATCCCATTTTTAAAAATGCATTTTCAGCAATTTTTCAGCAATAGCAATTTTTATCTGCTTGGCAACTTTTTTAAAGAGCTCTTGCCTTCTTCCTTTTGTTTTAACTCCTGTTGCTTTTGACAATCTCATGTAGATGGAAACAGCTGTAAATGGTTCTGACTGTCACAACATAAATTTCAAATTGGATGTTAAAAGAGAGTAGGAACTTGCATGGAAATTCAGTATTGTGTAAATCCAAACAATTTTAGCTAATTTCTTCAATAGTGCTATTCTCACTCTCTGCAATCTTATAATACAGCTTGGCTCACAGTTAAACATGTAATTTCCACTCACTGCAGGATTTTGGATCTCCTTCACATGCACACACACACACGTCAAATGTAAAAATGCAGTTGAGGACTGTTAATTAGAATTGGTAGTGCCAGAATCTCTATCGTAGGTGCTACTGACAGGTTAACAATAGGAGTAGAGGTAGAAGTAGTGCAGATAGAAGTAATAGTAGTTGTGGTGAAGGTGGTTCCAATACTAAAACTCCCTGCAGCATAGGATCATAGGAGTACTCAAGCAATCAACAGAGGCCAAAGAAATCTGAGGAGCCACCTGGAATGCAGGTGCCAGTGACTGCGGGAGAGGTTCAGGCAGAGGTGAAATCCAACAGGTTCTGGAGAACCAGTAGTGGAAATTTTGAGCAGTTCGGAGAACCGGCAGATACCACCTCTGGCTGGCCCCAGAGTGGGATGGGAATGGAGATTTTGCAATATCCTTTCCCCAGTAATGGGGAGGGAATGGGGATTTTGCAGTAACGTTCCCCTGCCTCACCCACCAAGCCGCACCACACCATGCCCACAGAACCGGTAGTAAAAAAAATTGGATTTCACCACTGGGTCCAGGTGCCCCTACTTCTGGTGCAGCCCTTGGTACCAATGTTTCCAGTAAAGCTACTGATAAACTGGGACTAATAGTGACCACTACCGATCCTCTGAACTGTTAACCTTTGCCCCTTTATGTTTCTGGCGATTTAAACCGCTTGCACACGTTTGAGCACTAACCAAAGATGCAGGTCACACTGTAGTTTTGCATTTTGCATTTTCATTTGCATCACCCAGCAAAACTAGTAAAAGAAAAGAGGAAGAGGTTTGTAGATGGAATCTGGAGTAGAAATAATTCTGGGAAAGAAAGGAGAGAAAACTGGAAGAACATGAAGTGAAGGGAAAAGGTAACTCAACTATGGCTGAAAGCAAAGGAGAGAAATCCTATGTATGTGTGTATGACAAAAATGTATTTCAAAAGTAAAAATTCATCAGCTGAGCAACACTGATGACCTGAGGCAGGGCTGACTTAGAGGCAAGGCTCAACTCTGTTCTTTGCCTTAATAATTTCAACCCATTTTATAATGCTTGAATGTGTAAACACTTGGGACACTGACGGCAAAGTCAAGGTAGTGATAATTGTGTAGTTGTGATGCAAGCCTCTCTTTCCTTTCCCCTTTTGTACACAGGTTGTCCTTGACTTACAGCCATTCATTTAATGACTGTTTGAAGTTACAAAGGCACTGAAAAAGTGACTTATGGCCATTTTTCACATTTATGACTGTTGCAGCATCACCATGATCAAAACGAGATACTTGGCAACTGGCATATATTTATCATGGTTGCAGTGTCTCAAGGTCATGTAATCACTTTTTCAATCTTCTGACAAGCAAAGACAACGGGGGAGCCAGATTCACTTAATAACCATGTCACTAACTTAACAACTGCAGTGATTCACTTAACAAGTGTGAGGAGAAAGGTCATAAATTGGGCAAAACTCACTTAACAACCGTCTTGCTTAGAAACAGAAATTTTGGGCTCAATTTTGGGCATAAGTCAAGGACTAGCTGTATGCATTCATCATGGTGTCCATTCAACTGCTCTGGATTGAATAAAAGTAAAATTTCTGTTCACCAGAGAGAAAAGAAAAAGAAAATAGGACTGAGGCAACTTTGGAATGATTTTTTAAAGTACATTAGATACTAGATATGAGCTTAAAGAAATATTACAACTTAGTACAGCAATATAACTAAATATTGGTATTCTGGTTAATGAAAAACACTGCTACCTAAGCAGCCAAAATCATTCTGTTTCTCAGCTACCATTGTTTTGCGCCACTGTTTCTTTGTTGTTTATTAAATTATCAAACATAGTTGTTTAATGACAAACTATGATAGTCTTACATTATTTTTGACTCTAGAGACTTTTCTGCCAATATATGGAAAGGGTTAAGCAGTGCTGCCTTCTGTATAACTAGTGATTATGCAACACTCATGACTATTTAAGTTTGAGGTTCCTGGGCTAAACTATTTGCCCAGGGATGGGGTGTGGGTGGGATCTGGGAATGTTGTAATGACACAGAGAGATGCCATTGCCAGCACCTTAGTCTTACCCTACAGCTCTGCAGCCATGTTTCTAGAGGCCTCATGCATCGAAAATTAAAAACAGTTCTTCATTTTTTGTAGCACAGGCCTCTCTCTAATAAGCCCTTTCCAATTTGGAGAAAGAATCTCATCTTCAGGTAATACACGGTATTTATATGTGAGCATATATAGGGAGAGAGGTGTATATGTATGTATGAATAACTAGCGATAGTAGGTATGCATTGACAGGCATATTTATGTAACATCAAGTAGGAGAAGGAATTGTCTTACCTTTTGCTTTCTAAAGCCAGCCAAGTTGTGTTCTGTGTGTGGTTGATGGTTAAACCTTTACAGTGTCCAGATTCCTTTTTGGTAGCATCGGAATGAAGTTCACAGCATAATGTTTAACAGAAGAATGAGAATAAGAACTTTCTTATTCAAAGGTTAATTATACTACAAACAGCACTAGCTCTTCTTTGTAGTAAATTGATCTTTCGGACTGTGAATGATATTGAGCACATGACAAGTTCATCTGAGTTTTTTATTTTATTTTATTTTGTCTTATTTTTCTCCTTTTTCTTTTCACAGTAAAGTACATGGTGATCATTTCCCTGTGCTGCAATTACACACAACTAATTCTACCATGCAATTCAGTCAGGAAGATTTTGAGAAGGCCAAAGAGCAAGTAAATCTTTTGCAAGATGAGCCAAGCGATGACATCAAGTTGAAGCTTTATGCATTGTATAAACAGGTATTACAACCATTTACCTTCTTAAATATGTAAATTTTTGAAAAATATCTTTGGAATCTCTCTCTCTCTTTCTCTTTCTCTCTCTCTCTCCCCCCTCACCCTCTCTCTCACTCACACACACACATGGAAGCTGTATGCTCTGTTCCATAATTGGGTAGACCAGGTTGCCCTCACACACACACACACACACACACACACACACACACACACACACACACATTTTTATACTTTTCATAATTGCTCCTGAAATATAGCAGAAATTTTCGTATAAATTTTGGAATAGACATAATTTGAATAAAAATAAATGATTAATTTATACTTTGCAGTCTAGTAGCAGTTTTAGTTTTGTTTGATCATTATCTAATTAGTTTAAACTTGATTTGATTTAACACAGGCTACTGTGGGCTCATGTAATATTCCAAAACCAAGTATGTTGGATTTTGTCAACAAAGCCAAATGGGATGCTTGGAACTCTCTTGGCAGTATGACACCGGTAAGCATACTCTCAAAAATGGCTTTAAGTTTAACATTTTGGGTGGGAAGAGTCCTTTAAAACAAAATATCCATTATATCCATGTTAATATAATAATGTAATTTACATAATTTGAGATAAGATGTAATCTGCATAATTGCAAATAGTATAAACAGATGCAGATGATATAGCTACATTAGTTACTTAATTATGCAAATGATGAATTGTTATGTATGTGGCTTCAGGATTTTAGTCTTAAATTTTAAAATAACTTCCTCTGTACAAGTTTTTTTACTTGATATTAAAAGTTGTGGAGAGATCCCATTTTAAATATTTTGTTTAATAATCTTTGAAAATATAAAATATTATAATTAGTATCATTTACATTATTTTATTTATTTTATATGAAGATGCCATGGAACACACATTTTGATCCTTATCAAAATATGCAAAATCACAGGAAACAAAAGGAAAATGTTATTCTATGGTGACTAATAAAGATGTCACCACTAGAGGGGAAAAAAGGATCTTCTTGTTTTATTCAAGGCTGCATTGTAAAATCTTTCATAAGTAACGGAGATTCATAACTGATCTAAAGTGAACACATTCTGTTAAATTAGAAACAAAATTAATTTTGTTTCTAATTTAAACAAAAAAAAAAGTGGGGTTTTTTTAACAAGTTTTATTAAATTTTTCTTTTACATATTACATATTTTATTGACCAGGTCACATCTTATACTACTTATAACATAGTTATATATTGATTTTTATAATCTATTCCAATCTTCTTTTTTGTTTTTTCCAAATACAATACATATTTCAATTTCTGCCATGATATTCTTTTTCCTTACTTTTTTATCTTATCTTAATCTCTTCTTAATAAATAGTATATAAACAATATCACCATCCGCCCTTCAAATCCTAATCTTGGCATTACTTAAATTAATTATCTCATTTCTCCATTTATAAAGTATATTTCTCAAAATTCCCATCACATTTTTTGGCTATAATCCCACCTTGGGCATGAAAGCTGGCTGGGTGTCTTGGAGCCAGTCACCCTCTCTCAACCTGATTTACCTCACAGGGTTGTTGTGGAGAAAATAGGAGGAAGAAGGAATATTAGATATCTTCACTGCTTTGAATTATTTATGAAGTAAAACAGTCAGGATAAATGTCAAGTAAATAAATAATGACAAACAAGGCAGCAAGTTTTATGCCAGGCATTGCCAGCGTATTTTTCTGCTGACTCAAATACTAGCACATGGTACTTTGATGTATCCTAAGACTGTGGTATATTTATGCTGCAAAGAGGCAGCAAGAGACTATGTCTTCATATGCCGTCAGAATAGCCCGCCCCCTTTCCACTGCAACATCTATAGGTAATATCCCCATTCTTCAGGAATATATACTACTGTGCAGAACTAATAGTAAAAAAGTACTCATCTCAAGGTCAAATTAAAAAGGTAATAAATAATAAATAAAAGATCAATCTCCTGGCACATACTGAGAGTAAATAATTCCATTTAGTAGCGTTACAGCTGCTAGGAGTTTATTATATTATAGAGAAGAAATAATGTTGAAATGTGCCACTGAAATTAATATGATGTCAAAATGCTTAATTTTGCTATACCATGTCGAATGCCTGTTTTGATTGTTTCATTATGATCTGCAATGCAAATTGTATTTTTAACAAGAAAATTGCATATATTTTAAAATAATTTAAACTATTTGTATTCTAATTCTGAAAAAGCCATAGAAATAATAGCATTCAACAAACACCAACAAAGGATTTTCCAAAGATACAAATTAATAAAAAAATTAAACACATAGCAAGTAGATTTGCCCTATTGTCATTTAAAATGTTGAACATAAAATACAGTATTTATAATTTTGAATCCTTCACTTTGTTTATATTTATTCATTTATTTATTCAATTTCTATAGCCGCCCCACTTCAACCAAGTGACTCTGATAGCTTACAATTCAAAAATTATAAAACAGTTTAAACAAAAGAACATGAAAAGAATAAAAACATCTACAAAATAAATAAGTGTAAACAGCAGTCGTGATGATTAATCAACTGATAGCAAAGCCAAGTTATAGGTTTACATTTTCTATCTTGATATCATTTTTATATTCTATATATTCTATTTTAATACTGACTTCTCATTACAGGACAATGCCAGACAGAGCTACATTGAACTAGTATCGAGTTTGGTTCCTACAGAAACTTCTCCAGTTAATGAAATTCCCCCTGGTAGCAAATCCATCTATGAAACACTTGAGGTTACTATTAAAGACAACATCACAAAGATCATATTAAACCGGCCAAAGAGGAAAAATGCTATCAATGTCAAGGTAAAGCTTGTAGATTTTGTAGTTTGGGAGCAAATAAAAGCAGAGAAGGAAAATACTTTTTCAAAAGACAAACCCCAGACATCCGAGGAAAAGTTGCCCCAGCGCACTGTTAGGGTTCTTTCCCTGTCTTCTCTTTTCCTCATCTGTTTTGGGTTTTTTTTCCTCCTTGTCATTTTTCAAACACAGGTGAATCAGGTACACATGGACTTTGCTTTGTATTCACCTTGGATCCACAAAGTTTCACCAGGAATGCTACACATATTCATAATGATAACTACTTATCCCCCCCCTTTTTTTTTTACATTTAAACAATTATTTGAATTTTAAAAATGGAAAATTGCCAACCACAAAGAGGTCTGGAGATCCAGATAAGTCCATAAGCTTTTTTTCCGAAAACAATGAACAGACCCAGTCCAGTGCTTTGTTTGGAAGTGTATCTATCTGTCAATAACAAGAAAAAAGATTTTTTATGTGTGCAAGGCAATGTTTTTCAGGTCAAAGAAGCTAATTGGAGTAGTAAGCAGTATTCTGGTGGATCGGTTATTTGAAATCGTTGATTGATATAATCAGTCACCTATGGTATATTGTCAAGTATTCTCTCAGCAGCCATTTAGCACAACCACTCAAATGTTCTTAGAACTCCAAATGCTCAAAATAATTGGGCTTGTTTGTTTTTCTTTTGCTTATGTTGTTCATTCCTGTAAGCTCTAGACAGCTAATAATATTTACATACTACCAAATCTCTTGTATCTGTGTACTCTTTATCATAGGGTAATTTTTTTTCAACCAAGGTACCACAAATGGGATAACTTACAGAATGCCATATCAATCAGTCTCAAGGGAATAAAATTTAGGGACATTTGGGGAAGTTGTGAGTGCTTCACTTCTGTGGTCATCTACATACCAAAAGCTTGCATCATGTTATAGTTTAAAGACTGCATATGTTCATTACAAAGATCATAATGTTTTACCTTTCCATTTCTGTCATAGAAGAAAAAAGTTACTTACATATTCTGAAACACAAAAAAACCACAATTTGATATTCTGTATGTTTCATTATTCTCAATTTTATTTGTTGGAAATGTTCTGTATCTACAGCAGTTCTTAAAAAACAGATTGTCATTCTTTGGATGATATTGATAATCTAAGGATTCAGCAGTTCTCTAACTTTCTGAATTCTAGAATGGGAATTTATTTTCATTTGTAATTCTCTTCTGCAGATGTACAATGAAATTATGAAAGCGCTTGAGGAAGCCGCAAATGATGATTCTGCTATAGCAGTTCTTACAGGTATTAGCTTTTACCATGAAAGTTAAAATCTGTGCCAATGTTAAATATTAACAAAACAGCAACACACAAGATTGTGTCAACCTGCATGCATAGGGAATTTACAGTTGAACAATAAAGAAGTGAAGGTGTTGGTTCAAAACTGATTTCAGATGGGCAGCGTGCTGAAAAATCAAGGAGAATACTAGGAAAGGGGACTATAAGAAACAGGCAAAATCATGAGTAGAGATATTTCAGTGATAACAAATATCAGAAGAGTGAAAGCAAATCAGCAGGAAGAGCTAAGGTGGTTTGAGAATATACAAAAACTGTACCATTAAAACAAGCATTAGGAATCAGAAAATCATATTTTAAGCATGTGATGCAAGTGGATGTGTATAACAATTCTGACTGCTTGACAAGGCTGAAGAAAACAGAAATGATAGATGGGTGGCTGGATGGCAGGGATATTACTGGGATGTCTTTGGAGGAGCTAAAAGCAACTAAAAAGGCTATCTTGTTCAGTCAAATTTGAGTTACTACGGGGAAGAATATGGTAGTAGTTGCATTCACATGCAGTAACAGCATCTAGGATTCTTCAGAATGCTAGTTTTTCATACTGCTGCCAAAATTATTGCTCCCATTTAGCTGCTGATTTCTGGAAAGAACTAAGCATGAAAGCCAGCTGGGTGACTTTGGGCGAGTCACTGTCTCAGTCAACGCAAATAGTTATAGTTATAGTTTATTATATTTATATACCGCCCCTCTCCCGAGGGACTCGGGGCAGTGAACAGCCAGCAAATAAAATACACAGATACAAAATCTAAAACAATATTAAAATCCAATTAAATCAACTTGGCCCATAGTTAAAAACCCTATATTAAAACTCCTAATTTTTTAAAACAATTCTTTTTAAAAAGAGTAGGTCAGGCCAGCCCTGCTTGATGAAACAAAAACGTCTTTAGGGCAGTTCGGAAAGCGCAAAGGTCAAGGATCCGCCGTATCTCTGGGGGCAACTCGTTCCAGTGGGTAGGTGCCCCCACAGAGAATGCTCTCCCCCTGGGGGCCGCCAGCCGGCATTGTCTGGCCGACGGCACCCTGAAGAGGCCCTCTCTGTGGGAGTGTACTGGTTGGTGGGAGACTACCGGCCAGTATGATTTCAATAAATCCATTGAAATCAGTGTGGTGTAATAATCTTCAACTAATGTTGAAGCCTGTTCAAAATAAATTGATTAGTTCTGCCTAGAGCGCTCTTTTTGAATGTAATACTAATACAGGTAGCCCTTTGTTAGTAACCTCTTTGTTCAGCAATTGTTTGAATTTACAAAGGCACTGAAAAAGCAGATTTATGTGCAATCCTAGAATTTGTAGCTATTGCAACGGATATTTTGGGCTCAATTTTGGTTGTAAGTTGAGGACTATCTGTATGTCTCAAGTTCTGGTCATATGACTTTATGTTTAACGATCATGGGTGATTTGTTTAATGACCACAGAGGAACTGAGGTGAGTTGGGTGAGGTCCCAATGGAATTGCTGGTTCAAATTGTAGTCATTAAGTGAGGACTACTTGTATTTATTTCATTCTTTTTAAAAATTTGCTTCTATATAGGCAATGGGGACTATTACTGTAGTGGAAATGACCTGAACAACTTTACCCAGGTTTCACCTGGTGGAATGGAAGAGTCTGCAAAGAATAGTGCAGAGATGCTCAAGTATGATTTGTTTTCATTTTTGTTAAACTATATAATGAATATGCAGAATGGATGATAAGCAGAAAAAGGTCCTATGCAGTTCTATAATAGAAGCACGTAAAGTTAATATAGAAAAATCACTGCACAGAGTGCAGCATGGAAATCAGAACTGGGAAAAAAATCTTCTTTTGTTGAGTTTTCACTAGAAGCCTCTGCTTCAATAAATACCTGTCTTGTATTTTCGCCCCATTTTCCCATATTGTCAGTTACATCCTGCTCCCTTCCTCACCATCTTTTAGTTATAATTTTTATTTTTATTGTATTAAGGTGTGTGTGTATGTGGTTTTATTATTGCTTTTGATGTTGTAAGTTGCCTTGTGGCGAGATGGGTGGCAAACAAATTTAATAAATAATAATTAAAAAATATTTCTGCCCAAGAATATTTGGAATATTTGGAAGAAAATATGCTATCTCAAATTATTTTTAAATACCTATACAAACAATTAATTAAATAATAGATTTTAAAGAAGCCAATTTCCACTATTCAAAATGTACATCTTAGTTCCTTTTTATGTGCATAGTGCAGAAAGATAAGTCAAATACTTTGTGCATCTCAATCTAGAAAAAAATTATTACCAAAAAAAATTGTTTTAAACAAAATCTTCTGATGCACTTTTCACCAATTCAGTACTGGAATAATATAGTAGGAAAACCAAAAGCACTTTATGCCTCACAGAATGATTTCAAGGTAAATATTGTATATTTAAAACTCCAGAAAGATGTAAATTCTCAGGGAAATTCAGCTGTAGGAATATGTAATAAATTGTTAGGGGTTTTTTTCCCCAACAGAAAAAATGTTCATGTGTTGTGACTTTCCAAAATATTATCTTGTTTGTAAATCGATTCCTGTTCCTTTCTATTTGCAGAAAGTTTGTTCAACATTTTATTGATTTTCCAAAGCCATTAATTGCTATGGTAAATGGGCCAGCTGTTGGGATCTCTGTAACACTGCTTGGGCTGTTTGACATCGTATATGCTACAGACCAGGTAAATTTTCTCTCTTTGATTCCTGTCACTACCATTAGATCATCGTGGACATAGATTTGTTGGAATAATGTTTATTTGTTCAAAGTATAGAGCTCCTTTTTTCCTACTATGAGAATAACTGGAATTTTCTTCATAAAATTGAATTATATTTTTTACTGAAAATTCTCATACTGGAATGTAGGGATATAGGCATGTAGGCATGGAATTAAAAAAGAAAAACCTCTCTAGAAGCACCTGTAAGCTGGCACACTCATTTATAACTCCAAAAATACAATGAAACTGTATATTTAAGTGCAAAAATAAAGTCCAAAAGAAAACCTTAATAACTCTTAGCTTGTAAAATACAAGATAACCTCTTCCACCTTCCCCCACTGCTTATGTAAATGTTTGCCTTGGGATACAAATCACTTTCCTTCACTAACCTGGTTTCTCTGGTTCCCCCCCAAAAAATGAATGTAAGGGGATAAGAATGTGTTCCTTTTACTCAAACTCTTAAGTCCTGCACCTGAACCTCCTGGGTCTTGCACTACATTGCTACTTATCCAAGGGTGCCTTTTCAGTACTGTTTTAGTTCTTCATCTGTTGCAGAGGTTCTCTGGTCCTTCCTACTGATCAGCTGTGGATTGTCTAAGCTGCCTGCTCATCCAGTTGCCTGTCTTACGGGCAGCATCTCTGGCAGAACCTGAAAGACCTTCCCTCCTCCCATCTTCATGCAACACTGTTTTCTTACTCCTTGTTTTATGTACCTCTTCTCTTACATTGCCAGCTTGCAGAGGGTTTAGGGATTTCCCCCCCACCCTCCCTGCCTACATGTCAATTTCCTTGCCTCCAGCATCAGCTGTCTCAGAAATAAGATTCTTTAATATGGAAGGCTAATTCATACAAAGAAAATTCCAGTTTTCATATATGCAGCTCCCCCGTAACGCGAGGGAGTGTCACCATCAAATAATAACAGAGACATAATGACCATCACACTATTCCTTTTTCATTTAAGCAGTCTCATAAAACATCAATATTGTGGATAATTCTGGGTTAAAGAACATACTATAATTACATCCTAGTAGGGTATTTACTCCAAGGGTTACTTTAAACCAGATTTAGGGAATTTCCTTTTAAAATCTGCCAGTTTCCATCTGGGATAGTATGGCTCAGAGGAGATTTGACATAGAATATGCCATCCATGAATCACTGAATCTTACACATCTCAGCATCAGAGTCTTGCCACTTGTACATAAAACCCTCCCTGTAAATACAGAACTATCCTGTGTATATTAAAAGTTACTCTTGCTAGATAACAATTCTAGATAACAATTCTATTGTAACTGGATCAGAGAAGTTCATACTTAGAGCTATTAGTATGACAAGAGTTTTTAATCATACCATTTGAAAATGACATGGCTATATTCTTCTAAGGAAAAATAAAGTCTCTATGTTGACAATATTTCTTTCCCCCACAGGCTACCTTTCATACTCCTTTTAGCAACCTGGGTCAAAGTCCAGAAGGATGTTCTTCATACACATTTCCCAAAATTATGGGGTTAACTAAGGTACATGTGAACATTTTATCTGCTTGATGGTTGAGTTAGGAAAAAAAAATGCTCTTAGAATTTGTTCAAGAAGGAATACATGTTACAAGGCCAGTTTACGTAATGATGGGCACATGTGCCATATGGGGGTATGATCAGGTCTGTATTTTAATAACATTTAACATTCAGAGCAATTAGCTGACCAAAATATACTAATGCTGTAATAATATCATAGGGAACTGCCTTGTCACATAGCAAAACTGCTTCTTGATCAGTCCTGTTCAAATGGCCTACTCTTACGCTGCCTATCAAAGTCGTGGGTAAATGTCAATGACTGAATCTTAAGATAGTTTATGAATGATACACTGAAGTGTTCTTCTATCCCTTATATATAACAAATGCACTAGAATTAGTGGAAAGTCAGAATGAGCCGTTGTTTCTTTTCTCATTTAATCAGGCCACTGAAATGCTGCTTTTCAACAAGAAGCTAACTGCTGCAGAAGCCTGTTCGCAGGGGCTTGTGACTGAGGTTTTTCCCGACAGTACATTCCAAAAAGAAGTGTGGGCAAGGCTGAAGGCTTATGCCAATCTTCCTAAAAAGGTTAGTGTTAGCAAAATTGCTTATCTAATAAATTGAATTAAAGTTTAAAGCATAAGTTAAAAATATGATTTTCAAGAAACCAGCAGAATGTATTCTAAAATAGTAGTAAATAATAATAAGGCAAGAAGATAAATACCTACGCAGCCCAAGTGAGTAACACTTTAACAGAAGAGAACCTCACCAAGAGAGGACAAGAGGTTAATAACAATCCCAAACCATTTTTTAATTTTTAAATGCACTCTAGAAATTAAAAGGAAGAGTAGCAAGAGTATGAGCTTGCACAAAGTGCACCTGCATACCAAAGCTAAAAAGCAACCAACCAAAATTTTATTAGTTTCTACATCTATTCAGCCTTATCAATAGGAGCCCTGGTGGCACAGTGGTTAGAATGCAGTATTGCAGGCAAATTCTGTCCACAACCTGGAATTCGATCCTGACAGGGCTCAACATTGACTCAGCCTTGCATTCTATCGAGATCGGTAAAATGAGAATCCAGATTTTTGGTTTTTTTTGGGGGGGGGGGCAATATGTTTATGTTGTAAACTGCACAGAGAGTGCTGTAAATCACTATCAGGCGGTATATAAGTCTAACTGCTATTGCTATGAGTATTGGCCACAGCACTGCACGCACCTACAAAGCTTATTTTGTTTGCAAAATAAGGCACAACTCAACATATATACAAAGCTTACTCTTAATTGCAACCTACCTATCTACACAACCCTAGCTTTTCAGAGCAAATAGCTTATAAAATATCAACAGCTATAACCTTAACCAGGCACACTGGATGGAGCTGCAAATAGACTTTTTTATGCTGAACGTCTGTTTTTCTCTTAATATTCCAATCCCATATTATTCCATTCAAGGTAAACCAGAAGCAGCAGGAACAAGACAGGTCCCCATTACAGTACTGGCTGAACTGGAAAGAGTAAAAGTCTCCAATCACAAAAGGGCAAATTACAAGTAGTCCTCAACTTACACTTAAAAACAGTCACTTAAAAACTGTTCAGAGTTACAATGAACCTCTCCAAAGCTACCTATGACCTGTTTTTGTAGCTGTGATGGAAACAAACCCCCATAGTCACGATTGCATTTTAGGAACTTGACAATTGGCTCACTTTTATGGCCATTTGCAGTGGCCCACAATCACAACTTGCAGTGTTTTTCGCTGGTTTCTGGCTTTTACTTCTGCTTTCTGGCATAAGATGCCCATTGAGGGGGATAGATTTATTTAACAAGTGTGGCCTCCATTTAATGACCGTTGTAAAAAACAGTTGTAACTTCAAATCCAGTCACAGGATGCCTCGACTTACAACTGCAACGACCTATGGCTGAAATTCCAGACTTAATTATACTTGTAAGTCAAGAATTACCTGTAAGAACTTCAGAACAAACTGTATACTTGAAATGACACCACTTGAAGCAAATGTTTTGTTCTTGGAGCTATATGTGCTTCCTTTGGAATGTTGTAAGACTGAAATATTTTGTACATTTCTAATGCCATCATCAATTCACAGGAGGGAAAGTATAAGGAAGCCCAGAAGAAGGTTGCAAGACAACAAATGAACTAGAAAAAGAAAAGAAAAAAGGAAAGGAATGTAAGGGTTATTCCAAAATATCTCAGTGATTCTGAACTAGCTTGGGTGCCCACAGAATATTGAAAAATGGTTGTGGAGGGACAACAACAAACTAGGAAAGAAAAGAAATATAATAAAAATATTACACATTTATTTTGTTTCAAATCCTACTTCAAATCCTCTGTTGTGGAACTCTATAAAATAGACAATAGTGACAGCTTGAAACTATCCATTTAACAAGCCTCTACGTCTGTTAACATTTCTTCAGACAATCATGGCCTATCTATCTTACCCTGGAAACAACCAAACCATGAATTATATCCATGCTGCAGTTCTGTACATCCCTATCTGGTTTTAAATCTCTTACAACCAATTACAACTTATTTCTGAGTACATATTTATAGAGAAAGACTGCATGTATGTGGAGACAAAGAGAATTGCAATTAAAAATCTGTTGAATTCAAATCATAGTTATATCTGCCTGACTCTTTATGTTACAGATTCTTTATGGCTTTCGCGGCAGTTTTTGACATTAAATAAATGCAGTAAACTAATTCAAATTGATACTTTTTTTTGTATTGCGGATGGTTTTAACATATACTGAGAGAAATGAGTATTAGAGGCAGAAGGATATGGAATGACTGATTTTATTTGTCCTAATTACCTTCTTCCTGCTTTTCACTTGTGATGTAGAGGGACAGCTGTTGACCATCTATAAACAGAAAGACAATTTCTATTATAATTTCTTTAATAATATAAAAATAAAGTCTGTTATGCAATCTGCTTCATTTATGAAACAACACCCAGGGGTTTTTTTGGTTGTTGTTGTTGTATAGCGCATGTAATTGTAAGTAAATTTGTGATCCAGTTCTATTCTTGCCCAAGAAAGCAATATAACATAGACATTTGGGAGATAAGTATCTAATTATTCCCCTGGGATTGTTTTGGGTTTAGAAGTCAGCTGAAGGGGAAATGATTGAGCAGAGAAAAGGCAGAGGGCAGGCCCTGATGTTGTGCTCTAGTTCTCTACGTAAACTCTCTCCTTGATCATCGGTTAACAATACCAGGCAGATGGACTTGCTGTGGTCCATATTAACCAGATATTGCTTATTTCTTTTACCTCTCCAGACTTTGACAGTCTCCAAGCAGCTAATACGAAACATGGAAAAAGAGAAGCTATACGAAGTTAATTCTCAGGAATGTGAATGTCTCATGGAAAGATGGCTATCTGAGGAATGCATGAATGCCGTAATGAGCTTCATACAGAAGAAATCAAAGCTCTAGTCTCTAGCCAATCATGCAAAATAAATTGCTGTAAGTTGTTTCTGTTCCCTTACTACAAAAACTGTCATTAAATGAATACCTTGGATACATATCCAGATGGTCCCTTCATTCTGGCTAGAGCTTAGCTTTCTTTGTCTTTTAGAATTTTGTATTGTGACATGAATTTATGATGCCAAAAGCACTGGAGTTGCCTGTTTGGGCCATTAGGCGGGAAAGCACTCACTGCTTTGCATGCAGAGCGAATTTCTTTGAATGTGACAATGACTGTTTGTCTTCCACAAGGGATGAGGGATTCAATGTCACCAAAATTCGCAAGTTCTTGAATAGTTGATTGCTGGTCATATTGAAATGACATGGTCTTCGGTATCCATCTAGTGTGGAGAAAGGAAAAAAACACACAAAATAATAGCACTAACTGTATTAGAAAAGGATGATCAAATACCTGTTTTCAAATGCATACAATAAGGATTAATACTTTACCACTTCATTAGTCTCTGATGTATTTTGCATAGTTTTTAATGACTGTAAATATGTCATTGAATAGTTTTTTAAAAACTTATCGCTGACACATAATGGCATTTAGATTTTATTGCAGAGTCAGGAAAACGTCTCCCCTAAAATGTTCAGGGAATTCTGAAGGGGTTTTTCCACGGTGGCTTCTTTAACAGTAAAAGCTGAAGATGTCATGAGAAGAAAAGGCATGAACAAGGTTGTCATTGGCTAAGAACAAGTATGGATCTATGATCAAGACTGAGATCATCACATGCAGAAAAAAAGGAAAAAAGGACTCTTTCTATATGCAGTATTTTCCTGGTGAAAAATCTCACTTATCCTGTTATTGTTTGCCTTACTCACATTAATGCCTTAACTCAAATTTCTGGAAGATAGTGCAGCTTGGAACAAGAGGCAGCTCAACCTAACAGGCCATATTGTTGCTGACAGACCCACCGTGTTAGTAGTAAGATGTCAGCACTTCAACCTGCATTTACTCTAGTGCTGACATAAGAAGGAAAAGAGAAATGCAATTTATTTTATTTGAGACGACATCGAAACCTGACATAAGGTAAGTATTAAAGGGGTGACTATAAGGCATGCTTCTTCCTGGAGTGCACAGCCTTTCTTCCCCAAAAACCTACAAAGTATTGTGAGCCACAGGAGATGACTTGGAGAGCTGAGACTTTGAGGTTCCAAGACCGACTGGTTCTGTGGGAAGAAGGGAGACTGTTGAACAACTTGCTTTTTTAATAGCTAGCATAATTGCAAAGTTCTGACATACAACTCTATTTTACTAACTACCTTTGGGGGTGTGAAATATTATATGAGTCTTTTATTAAAATGGCCCGTTAAAATAAGCAATGGTATGTGACAGTGTTTTTGTTTTTGACCTGTTTGTTTTAGAAATATTATCTAAAATGTTCATCCATTCCACATTCCTACTACTGTTGTCATCACACCAATTCCCCAACCTATTCATCCTGCAAAGAAATGAAATTATTTTTTTAGCTTTATCCATTAACCATTTGTTCATCTTTCTTGGATTAGGCCTTGATGTTAATATAGGCATATCTTTTCCTGTGCGCTGCTCCCACTATCCATGAATGGGTTAAATCCTTCAGCCTTTGGCAAACAACTGAGAGCGAATTAGAAGAAACTTCCCTTTCCCGGCTTTCTAGTCACGCCCCCCCAGTCCCATGATACCCCAGTCTTCTCTCAGTTGTTGGCAAACGCTGAAGAGTTTTTTGGGAGCTCCTGATTCTGCACAGGTATTTTTCTCCCCTTTTTCTTTCCAATTTCTCTCTTAGTTTCTTTTTATCCTTCCCCTTCCAAAGCGTTTAGGCTTTTCTGTTATTTTTGATTAAGTTCCTAGCGCGCGGTTTTTTCTTTTACTGCTTTGAAGGCACGAGAGCGCTCGTCAGCTGGGAGGCGGGCTCGGAGCCTCCGGCCTCCCACGCTCAGGCTGCTCAGCACTCGGCGTGACTTTTTAAACTGCCAGGCTCGCTGCAGCTTCTGGAAGACGGGCGCTTGTGCTGAAGCAGGCAAAGCACACATCAGCTGAGCGGCTGGCTCGGAGCCTCGGGCCGCCCACGCTCTCATTGCCATCTAGCCTCGGCGCACCTTGCTTTTTAAACTCGGCTGGGCTTGCTGCTGCCCAGGAAGGGGGTGCTTGCTTACAGAGCCGGGAGAAAAACCCCGCCTTTGTTTTCGCCGGGGGACATCGGAGGATTAAGCGCAGGGGCGCTGTGTAGCGGCGTACAGCCACGTGATCGGGCTGAGCTTCCCTTTACCCCCTACAGTATAGAAAAGTCCTCTCTTGCTCCGGAGATAGTGCGGCCTCTGGTAGGACCCTCGGGCCGCCAGTGCAAGTCCGCTGCTTTAGCCGCCTCGTTACAGCCTCCTACCACATGCGGACGCCATTTTGACGGACCTCCGGGCTGCCATTTTGGTTACCTTTCGCAAACCGGTCTTCTCCTGTACCACCAGGGAGCCAATTGCGCATTTGTGTCTGTACAATAAGGAGCCAGCAGGACCTGTCCCCAGGGGCGGCCTGCCTGAGAGAGGCGCAGGGGGGAGCGAAGCCAGACAAGAGGCCTCACATTTTATAGGAAGCCCAGGCCCGGCTCGCTTGCAAACAATGTCTGACTCACCCTTTTCCTTAGACATGGAATTGGAGTCAAGCCCACCTCGCAAGGGGACTAATCATTCAAAAAAGAGCTCTGCGAAACGCCCTGGGAATTCCAGCAGCAAAACCAGGTCAGACAAGGCACCCCCTACCCAGGATAGGGACGCCTTATGATGGCATAATGCACTAGAGCGCCAGTGGGCCAAGGCACAAAAGGCAATCACAGCTGCACCTGGTGCAGAGCCGGGATCGGGAGAAGTGGCACCCACATCGACTAGGGAGCCAGCACCTGCCATCTCAAGCCTGGCTGAGTTGAACTTGACACCAGTGACTCCAACCACACCCAGGTCAGGCCAACCCTTGCCAGAAGCCGCCCACCCCACTCTGCAACAACAGCTACAACCAGAAGCGACCTTCACTCTGACAGCAGCGGGCCTCATGCCACAAGGGGGTGCAGGGCCAACCAGCCAACCTGATTTTCAGGCCATGTTTTCGTCGGCTTTTTCTGCGTTCTTAGCTGCCGGTTGGCAGCAGGCGTCCCAACAGCCCTCAAACCCCTCTTTGGCCCAGGGGTCGCATCAGCAGTTCCAGTCTCATAGCCATCCTTCTCAGCCCCACGCGTCCTCGTCGGATGAGTCAGACCAAGCAGAGGAGGGGCCGGAGGACGTGGAGTTCTCAGAGGATGAGGGCCTACTGCCAGACACACCAGCCTTCAAAGGGCTTTTCTATCCGGCGCTATTCAAGTCGCTTCTCCATAAAGCCCGCCTCACGACTAAACTGGGAATCCCGGGAGAAATCAGGGCAGCCTCAGCCTCCTCAGCGGGGCCCCACGATGCCCTCTTCAAATCTTCCAAACCAGAAAAGGACTGTATTCCCTGTCCACAGCTCTTCGCAGATGTAATCCAGAACCCCTGGGGTCAATCAGCCTCACTGTCAACACCCAGATCCCTCGATAAGAAGCTGTACTGCTCAGCCCCTGAACTGGAGGAACTGCTGACCCTTCCAACAGTGGACCAGCCAGTAGCGTCCCTGGCATCGGGGTCGATGATCCCCACAGATGTTCTGGATGGCCTTAAAGCAGAGGACAAGAAAACGGAGGGGGCTTTTCGTAAGGCACACCAGGCAGTGGCCTGGGCAAGTCGTTCAGCTACAGCAACGTCTTTCTTCAACAGGGCGGCCCTCATCTGGCTTAGGCAAATGCAAGAAAGACTTCCTCCCGAGGACACCAGACTTCATCAGGACGTAAATAAAATAATTGCTGCCACCGAATATGCAGCAGACATGTCCCTAGACTCGGCAAAGTTTGCATCGAGATCCTTAGCCTCTACTGTCACGGCCAGGAGGCTTTTCTGGCTACGTCCCTGGAAGGCCGAGCTCAAGGCTAAGTGGAAGCTGGCGGCAGCCCCGTACAAAGCTCCAGATTTATTCGGGGCCTCACTAGATCCTGTCCTGGTCAAGGACAAAGACAAAAGGAAGGTTCTCCCATCGTCCCTCCGGCGACGCGAGCGTAGATACTCACCCTACCCATACCAGCAGCCCTTTCGTCACAACACAGGGTCCAGGGGGCCCTCCTTTCACTGCTCACAATACCAAGGAGGGGAGAGATTTCAGGACAGACAGCAGTTCCGAGACAGAGGCCGAAACCAGCAGTCCAAGCGTCCCTTCCGTGGAGCCAGTTCCAAGACCGCCAGGAGGGGAAAGTGACTCCAGATCCAAGGGCCCTATAGGGGGAAGGCTCCTTCTATTCTCCCAACAATGGGCCCGATCAACGTTGGACTCGTGGGTAAGGCGCACGACTTCATCAGGTCTCTACATCGAATTCTCGGGGCCGCCTCCCCACCGCTTCGCCCAATGTGCAATCCCACAGTCCTTAGAGCTCCAAGAGCTAATGGCTCAGGAGATTGCACATCTCTTGGAATTCAAGGCCATAGAACCGGTTCCACTGATCCAACACAGAGAGGGGTTCTACTCAACCCTCTTCCTCGTTCCCAAGAACTCGGGAGGTTGGAGGGGGATCCTGAATTTGAAGCGTCTGAACCAGTCAGTACAATACCGCAGGTTCAAGATGCACTCGCTCCGTGGAAGAATTTGCTATTGGCAAAGGCACAAGACAGGGATGTCCCCTATCTCCCTTACTTTTTATTTTATCATTAGAAACCCTATTACGTAAAATAAGGAATGAAGAAAAAATTAAAGGCCTTAGAATTGGACAACAGGTATATAAAACCCAGGCCTTTGCTGATGATATGGTTTTTATTTTGGAAGAGCCCATAGAATCCTGTTTATACTTATTAGAGAGAATTGAAGAATTTGGGGCTGTAGCAGGGTTATTAATTAATAAAAACAAAACAAATATATTAACTAAGAATATCCTAGAAGAATCTAAGAGAGAGCTACAGGTGGTAACTGGACTAAAAGTAGTTAATAAAGTTAAATACTTGGGAATCTGGCTAACTAATAGATGTTCGAGTATACAGGAGGACAATTATAACAAATTACTAATTCAAATTAAAAAAGATTTAGATAGATGGGGTAAAATACAACTCTCACTACTAGGACGAGTTACAACAGTGAAATCCTATGTTTTACCAAAGTTCAATTTTCTATTTCAGACTACACCAGTGAGTTTATCTAAAAAAAAAATTTATGGAGTTGAATCAAATAATATCGAAATTTGTTTGGCAGGGGAAGAAACCACGGATTAAAAGAAAGATGATGCAAGAAGTAAGAGAAAGAGGAGGTTTAGGATTA